TAGGGATTTTAATAGGGATTTTATAACTTTTCTAAAAATAACAGGCTAATTTAATATATATTTTAATTGTTTTTAGATATTTATTGTATAGTTTCGTTTTTTATTTGCCTGTAAGCCGCCCTGAGTCCTTCGGGAGAAGGGCGGGGTATAAATTAAAGTAATAATAATAATAATAATAATAATAATAATAATAATAATAGTAGATTGTGTGTCTGTAACTTTCAGATTAAATTTAGATAATATGTTGTATTAATCCTTTGCAGTTATTTTTGGATACTGGAAGCTGAACACCTCATTATTTGATTACAGCTAGTCCTTGACTTACGACTACAGAATTTCCGTTGCTAAGCAAAGCAGTTGTTAAGTGAATTTATGACCTTTTTTGCCATGGTTGTTAAGCAAATGACTGCAGTTGTTAAGTGAATCTGGCAGTTATTAAGCGAATTCAGCTTCCCTCAGACTTTGCTTGTCAGGATCCAGCTGGGAAGGCCATAAATGGTGATCGCATGACCCCGAGTGTGGCAACCGTTGTAAATACAAGCTGGTTGTCAAGTGCCCCAATTTTGATCATGTGGCCGTGAGATATTGTGAAGGCCAAAAGTGTGAGGACCAGTCATAAGTCAGTTTTTTCAGTGCCTTGTAACTTTGCTTACTAAATTGGTTGTAATTTGAGAAGTACCTATATTTACAAACATAACGGCGGATTCCTAAACTCTATTATTTCATATTTTCTTCCTTACATTATTAAAGAATTACTTCTCAACAAATATAACTTCCTTTTTTAAAAAAAATGAGGGGTTTTTTTGTTTAGAAGTGAATCAATTCACACTGGATTTCACTGATAACCAAAGCTGTACTGCTTCCCCCCACCTGTTGTTTGAAAACAAAAGCAGGCTTTCTCCATAGTGAATTGATGGCAATTACAGCTGATTAGTTGACTGATCAAAAAGGTAAAGCTAATATCCCTTCTGCAATGCAGACAGCCTTTGATGAAATGTTGCTGTAGCCACTGCCTATACCTAGCTGAAGATTCAGCTTCCACCTTTTGAAAAGGTTTGTCAATATTTAGTTTGTAATGAATACACATAGGCTTTTCAGAAATAAAACACTTCTTTTAATTGGCAAATAGAACACACATTGCAGGTCATTAGTATTTTGTCAAAAGACTATTAAGTTACAAATACATACTTTTTTAAAAAAAACTGGCAGTTTCAAATGGCAGTTCAGAGCACATGGTGCAGTTTTTCCCTAGCACTTCTATTGGCAATTGATAGGATATAAATTCTCATCTTATAGTTTCCTAATGTAACCTAATGCTAAAAACAACAAGAACCATTAAAAATAGACGCTGCATAAAAAAATTGTCATTCTTTTCTTTGTATGGATTTGACTATGTGGGGCTGGTTTTGCAGACATCACTTTTAATATTAGGATCTAAAGAAGCTTTGCATCAAGTTGAATGTTCATTAATTGTGGTCCAAGAGTAGTCTCATTTAGCCTGTATTTTATGTCACATTACTTTGACTTTTGTCAAAGCCCAACATGCAGTGAATCAGACTCTTAGAAAAGCTATGATATAACCAATCAGCTATATTGGGTTGGATCCAGACAGTTTGGCATATCTAGGTTAACTGAAAAATAAAGAAGGCTTATGTTGATCATAACAAACGTTCTAGCTATCAGTGGGGCTTAAAGTGCAACCAACTTGATCTGGGTCCAAACCATTTTATAATTTTATAGCGCGCACACATATACACACCCTTGTCAGCCCCCAACAATATTTATTTGCATTCAGTGAGGTATGCTGCACATTCCATTTCACCTATTCAGGGGAATCTGTGGGAAGGGATGTCAAAAAGTCAAGATTGTAATTGTGTGGTTGTCATCTTGATTTTTTTTTTTTGAAATCTTATGCTTTGCATCTACTCATAACATATTAACAAAGTACAGCTGTATGTTAATGTGATGAAAACAACCCAAACTAAGCATATCTTTCCTTGAAGCTGCATTATCTCACAGTTCTTGAAATACTTCTTGTTTAAATGCTTATACTAGGGCGAGAAGAACAGGAACATGCAACATTCAGTATAAAGCTTCCATATCTTTCTGATAAGATCTCTTTACTGATATCTTGCTGCTAACACCTTATCCTGCAACTTTAAGGGAGCATAACAAGTAAATATTACATTACACCTTGGCCTTCTTCAGTCTATTTCATATGGAATGTTGTTTTCTTACATCGATAATACTTCTGTGTAGGTTGTGCAAACCATCTTGTAAAAAATATTTGTCTCCATTTCTTGCTGAAATGTATTAGTATGTAGTATGTTGCAGTCAACCTCGCTAGAGAAGAAATAGGTTTTTGTATCAGAGACTATAGCCATTCTTTGCTTTCCAAATTCCCTGAGGAAGAACCTGGTGAGGTCACCTACAGTACTACATATTAAGTCAACTTTTCACTGATTAATTTTATCTCTGCTTTCATCTGTAAATGTCATCAAAAAACAAGTGTGTGCTCACTTCACTCACTGAGAAATTGCTTACAGTTGATTTTATTTCTTACATGGAAATATTACAGATGTAAGAAATGTATTGCATTTGAAATGGCCCTTAAATAGTAGAAAATCATTAATTCTGATAATCAAACGATTGTTTTTGCAACTACTGTATGAGCATTCTTGTAGTATACATACTTAAATTGTTTAAATATGTATTTATTCAGGTTTATAACATTTTAAATTTATAGGAAAAAAATAGAAATTGATTGCCATAGTGGAAACAACTCTGTATCAAAAAATTCCAGGGAGTACCATTAAATAGTAGACTTTCTTTTTAGAAGCCAGTTCTTCTTAAACCAATATGTTGCTAATGCTAACAAAATACCCTGTTGTTCAGTCTTCTTAGGGTCAAGGCAAGCTCCAGTGAGGGGAGATTACATTAATAACCAACTGGGCTTTGCTTCATTAAAAAGCAAATACTGCAAAGCTTTTCCTAATTGCTCTGTGGCATAATGCAAAGTAGCCCCTAGTCAGCCATCAAAAATTAGAAATCTAGAAAAAAGGCTCCCAGCCATGTAAAAGGAGTGTGGAAGTTGTCAATATGAAGTCCACAGGCTTTGATCATTGAACTGATCACTAGATTCCAAGAAACCAGAGCAACACTTTTAAAAATGCAGAACAACACATATGATGAAAACTACCTAGAAGGCAGAGTTCCTTCATCTGTTAACACCAGATGAATAAAGTGCATAGCAACAATTGTAATAGTTCTTGGAGAGAGAGAAAACACTTAGCAAGCCTCAGCAAGCTTGACATTTGTTATGTATATCTTGCTACAGGTGGCTTTTCTCTTTCTTCAGTCCTTCAGCTACACCATCTAATAACTTTCTTCAGACTTCAAATGGAATGAGCTGAGATTTCTGACTGTTGCCTTATGTAACTTTGGAAGCTCTTGTCACCAATGGGGTGTTCCCTAGAAAGCGAAAAGAAAGAAGAAAAAGTTGAAGGAAAGATTGACATGTTTATTCTTAATTTTCAGATAAAAAGAAAAATCCTCCACAAAAATATATTGATTGAAAATTTTGGCATGAATGATAGCATAATATTGTGAGATGGACAGGTCTGTACAATACATCTTTTAATACAACGATTTAAAGAAATAAAAAATGCATAATGGCAACCCATGGAATATATATGGATATCTTTGTAAGTGACACAGATTGTACAGGTAAAAAATCCAGAGATTTAGAGAATAATCATGTGATTATCTAAATTAAGATTTGGCAAAATTAAAGCAAGAACAAGAAGAGACACAGAGTATGTGATTTGCCTGCATAGGAGATGCCTTATTACATTAAACAAATATGCTGATAGGAAGATTATATTTACCTTGTGATAGAAAATGACAATGACTGTTCTTGTAGTGAATGAGTGAAACTAATAGCTTTGTGCTGAAATTACAATTTACCTTTCTCAGTTAATATGGCAGAAGAATCAGGCCATTAATCCATCTAAATGAATATGCTGTAAATCAGGCATGTCAAACTGCTGGCCTGTGGGCTGGATGCGTCACACCAAAACCGCGCCCACCCCATTGCCGGCAATAGGGAAAAAGTCACGATATGTCACGCAATGTTGCGAGTTTGACATGCCTGCTGTAAATAAAATATCAGCTTCTTCTAGTATTTGGCAATCTTCTCCAGAACAAAATAGCCTGATATTTCACTGCTTGTCTACTTTCATTAGTAAATATCATGGACTATTGCAAGAGAAAAGGGGGCTTGCCCAAGATTTTGTGATTTTTACTGCAGTATTGCCATTGTTATTACAACTTTGACTGGGATAGTGGTGTTGGTTATGGAGGTTATCACCAGTATTTGAACTGCTGCTGAGCATAAGGGTAATTTGTAGCTTGCAACTTTCAAGAATTTCCAGTAAGAATCTTTGCCAGTCATACCTGGAACTACCAATAGAAGAGAATATTTGTAACTCAGGGTTGAACTGTTGGGGATTTGTTACCTAATTGGAGACATCATCAGTGTTACCTAGTTGGATAATGAAATGTCTGCAACAAAGTAACCAAGCTCAAAGAGCACCAAGAACTTCATGTACCTGGAACTTCATACGTTTTCCTGTAATGCATAGACTCCAATATTGAGCTATAGCCTTCTACGAAGGATATAGAAGGCTTCTCTTTGTCCAAGACAAGCTCATTTTTGCATGCAATATCTAGCAGCACAGATGCTTTAAGCCAGAGGTCCCCAACCTTTTGGGCACAGGGACCAGTTCAGTGGAGAGAGGTTTTTCCGCAGACCTGAGGATGCATGGTTTTGTTTGCTGCCTGCATCTCGTGGATGGGGCTTTGCTTGTTTGTGCGGTCCAGTTGCTGCCATGCCACGGCCTGGTACTGGTCCACAGCCCGAGGGTTGGGGACCCCTGCTTTAAGCGCTGCTGCTCTGAATATGTCAATGCAAAACTAGTGCACTATATAAGGAACGGCTGCTGGAATTGGGTATGTCTAGTTTAATGAAGAGAAGGACGAGGGGGGACATGATAGCAGTGTTCCAATATCTCAGGGGCTGCCACAAAGAACAGGGAGGCAAGCTATTCTCCAAGGCGCCTGAAGGCAGGACGAGAAGCAACGGATGGAAACTGATCAAGGAGAGAAGCAACTTAGAACTAAAGAGAAACATCCTGACAGTTAGAACAATTAACCAATGGAACCACCTGCCTCCAGAAGCGGTGAATGCTCCAACACTGGAGGTTTTTAAGAAGAGACTGGACAGCCATTTGTCTGAAATGGTGTAGGGTTCCTGCCTGAGCAGGGGGTTAGACTCAATGACCTCCAAGGTCCCTTCCAACTTTATTATTACTATTACTATTACTATTACTATTATTACTACTACTACAACTACTACTACTACTACTACTACTATTATTATTATTATTATTATTATTATTATTATTATTATTATTATTATTATTATTATTATTATTAAACTTCTTGGTATCAATAAAATCATACCACTAATTGTTAATGATTTGAAACTAGCCTGCAGAAAACTGCCATTCTAAAAAATGAAAATCACTGGTATATGGTGTATGATGGTGGAGGAGAGTGACAGGCTCAATGACGCTGCCATAGAGGAACAGATGGTGGAAATATGCTACAAATATGCTACAAATATGAACAAGTCCTTTTTGAGCAACAATTCAACAAAGGCAACAAATCTATCCATTGCAGGCCATTGAGAGCAAACTGAAACTTAACCAACACTTCTTGTTTTGCCAGGGAGCCAAATGCTGTTTCAATAGTGCTTGAGATCATCCTACACTTACTGGCTTCCGTATTTTGTCTTCTTGAACTTATCCCTCTTATACTGGGCATGTTCCTGTTCTAAGTTTTTAACATTTGCTATAATATGTTTTAGTGTCTTATAAGTCTCTTGAGGATCATCAATGACAAAAGTTGAATATTCTTCTTGTTCTGGCCCATCATACACTGATTTGCTGCCACAAGCCTCTGTCAAAAGAGATTTAAAAAAAGAAAAATTAATAACTTGTGAGGCTAATAATGATTACACATGATCAGGATTCAGTTAATACTGTATCCTGAGAATGACAAGACAATCTTAAGAATAAAATTGAATAAGAGATAATACATCGGAGTAGTTTGACCATATAAAGAATCCTGTAAGATCAGATTATTCATTTGAAAATTCAGTGAGAATCATCTTTAGAAGCTTCCAAGCTGGGCATGGAGATAACAGTATTCATAAGGACACTGCTAATGAGTTTTTATTGACAGCAACAAGTTACTTTCCATTATTGATATTAGCTAAAGATTTATTTTACAAGGTATTTGTCCTTTTTTATTATATTGTTATAAGACATACATAATACATTATATATTTCTCTCCTTTTAAAGCTACCTAAGCTAGTGGCCATTAATAGCAATATGAATTCCTGCATCCTATATCAGCCTTCCGCAACCTGCTGCCCTCTTGATGCGCTGGACTTCAAATTTTAGATAATTTGATGAGCACCAGGAAGATATTCTGGGACTTCAAGACCAATACATTTTGAGGCCATCAGACAGAGAAAACTGTTTTGCAGGTGGCTTAGATAGAAAACTGTGTGTTGCAAAAGAATCTATTAGTGCAAAATGTACAACATGCCTAAGAATCTGAATTACTATAAAAATCTAGAAAATTGTAGTGTCCTATATATATACTTTTGCACAGCTGAGTTATGGCTTACTCAGGGAAGGAAGCACTTTCTCCCACTATTATATTAGAGATTCTGCTATTCACTTTGTGTAGCCTTACCCATACCTCCATTTGGCCAAATTAAAATCTCATAAATCACATTTATAATCTCTTTACCAAATTATAATCTCTTTATCAAACAAGAGATGTGAAAATTCCTTGTTTTAGGACTGCGAAATGAAAAGCAGTGAAGTTTCATTCTTTAGCTCTGGTAATGGACCTGATCTGAAATGTCATCACAGTCAACAGCTGCGATCTGCACTGACAATAAAGCTTCCACCAACTGGAATGGGACAACTTGCCGTAGCCAACTCACCGTGGCCAACTTGCCACAGGACAACTCGCTGTGGGGCAATTCAATTTAATTATTTAAAATAATTTTAAAAATGTTTTAATTTTTGTCATTCACATTTCATTTTGTCCTTTCTTTGGCATCCTTTCTTTAATGATTTTATTCCACCATTTCTTCAATATTAGTGCAATTCTTGTCCCACAGTGAGTTGGCCACGGTGAGTTGGCTGCGGTGAGTTGTCGTAGACCCTCCATCAATAGTAGTAGAAACGGTATAAATGGTAGTCATTGTGAAAGGAATGTGTGCAGTGAGAGGGGGTGATCCTGAGTAAAAACTTCTCTCTTGAAGAACCTGATTAAGAGGCCCACCCTCTCTGCAACTGTAATTAAAAAAAAACCATTCAAAACATTCAGTTAATCAGATGATTAACTTCCAAATTAATATATCCATAAGGAAAAAAAATACAAATCCCAACACAAAGATCTAAAAGTGTCTTTTAGAGGTGTCTCCAGGATCCAGAAAAACTTTCTGCTATATATATGTGCAATGTCACAATGCCTGTACAAAAACAGCAGAGTTTGTGTTGCTTTGGTACAACATTGTTTTCCTCATTTGCTCTCCTTGCCCTCCTTTTCCCATTTTGTAAAAAAAGTGACTTATTCAGAATGGGGGAATAAATGAGAGAGAATTTTCAGAAATGGAAGAAAAGTCCATTATTTTGCAGTTTTAAGTCCCTTAAAATTAGATTTTATATAAAATGAGTTCCATAGACAAAACAATAACTCCTTTGCATACCCACCTTGCATTTTCTCCAGTTTGGTCATATACAGATTGAACAGGGAGTAGATGCGTTCTGTTTCTCTATCTCCATCGATGTCTAATTGTATATTTGCTGGTAGACCCCTACACAATCATTTAAATATTGTCAAGAAATTTTGAAACTCTATATTTCATTTATGGGTTGAAAAGGGTTTTGATGAAGAGAACAAGACTCCACAATCAAATCATTTTCATTACAGATTGATAATACATTTTTAATAAACTGATGTATGAGATAAACAAATTCTCAAGAACAAAATAATGCAAAGGAGGAGGTATTCCAAATAAGAACCATAACATTTGTATAAAGGAAAGAAAGCATTCTACTGCCTGCAGTGTATTTCAGCCAATCAGGCTGAGGTTATTAAATGTGTGAGTAAAAAAACAAAATCTTGAGTGAGTAAAATCTTCGCTTGGCACTGAAAACCAAAATTAATTATCTGTCTGTCTGTCTGTCTGTCCGTCCGTCCATCCAACCGTCCATCCTCTATCATATTTATCTATCCAGCCATCACCTACCTCTAATCAATCAATCAATCAATCAATCAATCAATCAATCAATCAATCTATCTATCTATCTATCTATCTATCTATCTATCTATCTATCTATCTATCTATCTATCTATCTATCTATCTATCTATCTATCTATCTATCTATCTATCTATCAAATTTTTGAAACTGTCCATCTCCCATCTTGCAGATCTTAATACTTCAACAGGTTGAAGTCAGGAAGGATGTTAACCTATTAGACTCTTAACCTATCAGACTCCTAACTCATTAAGGACCTTACATATTACTAAAATTTTGAAGAATGTTATGTATCTGCAGCCAATCTTGTTCCTTTAGGTCACTGTAACATGGATTCTAAAAGATGTTTTGGACAGAAACCTTGATGCCATGCTCTGTATAAGCTCTTCCAAATCTCATTCAGGAATGATTCCATATAAAATGCACTGCATTAGCATAAAATAATCATAGCACTGAGTCACATGGCCCGCTCATCCATGTCCAGGAAAAGTCACAGCTAAGAGAGCAACAGGAACTCAAATTCATTCTAAGCCACTAAACAACTTTATACCTTCAGAATACGCACACTAACAGCACTGATTAGGGGATGACTTGAATCAACAAAAATATGCATATGAATTAGCGCATACTAATAAAACTTTTATTTTGCATTTGGATGGTGCACAGTTGTGTTAGGGATATGATTGGTTTTCTTTCTTTTTTCTTTTTCTTTTTGAAAAGGCATATCCTCTTATATAGGATAGAGAAACAGGAACTCTTCTTTTAAAGATGGGGGCCTGCTGCATGCACTTTTGGTAAGAACTACAGTATACATAAAAACATCCAAATCCCTTTCCTAGCTACCTGAGGATATTCATAGTAAATAAAATGATTTCTAGCATAACCTACCTACTTAATAATTTCGGCTATAATTCTAGTCTTGTCAGAATACATCTTCTAAGCCTGTTCCATATTAAAAAGTTACTGGTTTCTAGAAGGAAAACTGGATAGAGAAGAAAAACTAAGTAGTGTTTAATGCATATTGTCAGACCTGCCTGTTCATCCACAGTATCAGGTCTCATTCTTTCATCATCCACAGGGCTATGTCTGATCATCAAATATTTAAAGCAAAATTTAAAACAGGAAGCGTCCTTACCCAGTGCAAGGAGTACAACCAGGAGCATTATCTGCTATAGCTTTGCAGCACAGCCAGTGCCCATTAAGATATGCAGAAGGATGGTAGACAGTGAGTCGTTTCTTGTTACACTGGCTAACTTTGGTGAGGATATCAATCCAGTCCTTGGCCTCAACACAATTATTGGCCTGAATGTAGAGCACTCTTTCAGGCTGAATCACTTGGAACATCTTAAAGGGAGAGAGGGAAAAACAACTGATTATTAACATGGAGCAATACTTAAAACATAATGTTTTAGGGGGAAAAACTGTTAGAATATGTATTTTTATCATTGGGTTGCTTAGTGGCTGGCTCTCACTCAGATGATGGGCTCACATCCAGAACCCTTTGATATGAACTGTGTAACAATTTGCAGACTATAAAGTATATTACAAGACAAGGCTGTGTGTGAGAGTGTGTATGTGTATATTACATATTATAAATAACTCAAGGTAGCAAATATATCTAATAGTCTTTTCTCCTATTTTCCCCACAACCACAATCCTATGAGTTGGGCTGGTTTGAGAAAGAGTGACTGGCCAAAGTCACTCAGCTACCTTTCAGGACTAAGATGGGATTTGAATTCACGTTCTCTCAGTTTCTAGCATGATACCTTAACCACTAGACCAAACTGTCCCCTCCAAGAAAAAAGTGTATAGTACGGGTTTGTATGTAATAGTTAAGAAGTGAAACTACTTACATTTTTCATTTTGAAAGATTCTTCTTCCAACTTTTCTACTGCCAGAATGTTTTCAATTGGAATGCTGCATAATGGATGATCACCTACAGTGGATAATTACAAGAAAAAAAATGTTTTTAAACTCCTTGTGTATACAAACATATGTACGTGCTTATGTCACAATTGCATTGTCATTATATTCTGTACCACCTTAATTATTAATCACCAATTGTGGTTTTGGAGTTTTTGATTCATTTTCTCCTGGAAAATAGTGTATTAATGTTTAAATTAAAAGGAAAAGAAAAACTTTTAATACCTTTGTTTTTCTGATAGGTAAATTCATGATTACTGAGCCGAAACCATCTCTTCTTGAAGTTCTTCATGCCAAATCTTTTTCTGCCTTGTGCCCTTTTGATCATAAATCTATTGCAAAAAAGTCCACAGCAGTTTTACATAAATATATACTCAGCCTGGTCCTTGTCAGAAATTGTGCTCTTCTTATAAAGGAACCAATCTTGAGAAACCCCTAAAGGCTGTGAAACTCTGCACTATAGAAATCATGGTCAAACCATAATATAGCTGCATCCTCATAAGAAACTACACATTTCAGTTAAGGAGGCACTAGAGAGATAGCGTCATGTTGATATTTCTTAAACTCAAATGTGTATTTTTCTGAACTGCACAGCCAGCATCTAAGACCAGGAAAAGGCATGTGTTCTTTAAGAGGCACCAACAAGGACAGCAAGTAGACCAACATCAGCCATGAGGTATCTTTTTCTACTAGTCATATACACTCATACGTTTAGGAACTTGTAGCTGAATAGTCAAAGCTCTTAATTAAGGTGCTTAATAAGAGAGCAAATATATTATATAACAGAAAGACAGAAAGTCATCTGTCTTTACTATCTTATCTCCATGAAATATTATTAACTTTCTTTACATTATTTAAGCATCTTTTGCACACCAGGCCAAGCAAAGACAAAAAAAGAGAGAAGGAAAATACAGTTGAGAAGTTCATTTTTTGTTAAAAAGGGAATGTTAGAAAGTCAATATTTTTGCTTTTTTCAGTCAGTAGAAATAATTTTTAAAAGAAAACAACAAAGTTTTAAATGGCAGGTATATGTTATGGATCTGATTAAAATTAATTGCATTTAGAAGCAGGTATCCCTTTTATCTTAAACCTAATTATATTTCATGTTTTTGGTACTTGGGAAATATTTCTGATGGGGAAAAAAGTTGGTGTTTTCAATAATAATCCAATAGCCTAAAAACTTAACAATAATTATCTGCACTTCTTTTAATTCATTTTTTTTAAATTTCCACATCCAAGCCTTTAACACATATTAATCAGCACAACACTTGCATAGAACTTTACAGAACCCCGCTAGATCCATTATGAGCAGAAGATGAAACATTTAATCTTACACACTTGGAAAAATAACACTGATATAAACTCACCCTTCTTTAAGTAGTATTGGTTGTTCTATAATTTTGTGATCTCTCCTTCCAGAGGATGAAATCAAATCCAAGAACTTGGAAGAAAGAATGAATAGATTTGAAATAAACATTTAACATAGATGTCATCTAATTCTTACTTGTTGGAGCAAGTAAGTTCAAGTTTTAAAACACTGATTTATTGGCCAATAGAAACAGAAAGAAAGACATTAATTAATTAATTCCCCAGGTACAAATAAATTATGTTAAGTATCTTGTGCTTAACCATATAATGGGTCTGCATATCCGTCTGAAACTTTTTTAGAAATACAAAATACATTATATCTATTTCTTTCTTTCTTCTGAGGCTTAATTTTGATATTTTATTGCAGTTGCGATTGATGCTGATCCAATGCTTGTTTCCACATTCATTGCAGAATACTTAAATCAGTCTATTTCAACCTGTGCCCTTCAAACATGTGGGAATCCAGCTATTATAAATTCCAGCCTATATAATAGTTTTTATCTACATTGGTTTAGAATTAAAAGAACTGCAGTCCAACAGGTATGGAGGGCAATAATTAATTAAAAGCGAATGAAAGGTATAAGCTTCTTGTCAATGAATTCTGTATAGGAGATGTAGACATTTTGATAGTGGATTGTCAAATATATTGTTCATAAATGTCTTATTAATCCATATGGTAGATGGCTGATCAGTATGGGAATGACATCAAGAAAAAAATATGTCTAGACAACTTTCCCCATTTCAATGTTCCCCAGAGGCACTGACAGCATAATCTTTATTACATTTCAATGTTGGATAAATGGTTGTTAATTCTGTATTTTATAGTATTTTATAGATTTATAGTATTTTATAAATCTAGAAGTAACAGAAAGTCAATGTATAGTCTAAAGGTGTAATTTTTTTTATACCTAAGCTACTCCAAATATGAAAAAACCCATCCAACCTTTCCTGAACTATTTGAGAATGTTCAAAATGATCCCACTATTGCACTATTTCATGTTGTTTATTGCAACTCTAAAGATATCTATTGAAGGAAACTTTAAATCAGTATGCCAAAACCCATTCGGTGGCCAAAAGATTTATTTCTAATATTTTCCCATCTTTTCCATTATTATTTTTACTTCTAATTAATTAATTATTTAGAATATAATGCACGTAATTCATAAAAATATTGCCATTCATAAATTCATAAAGCATTTGTTTAAAAAAATAAAAAATAAATAATAATATATGGAACTGGCTGGCATTCCCCCAAAGCACACAAAACATTGTTTCTAATACTTACATTTTTTACTGCATCTGCATATTTTTGCTCATTAAAGTAGTCATAAAATATAGCCATATATGATTCCTTGAAACTGGCCTGCAATAAAACCACCATTTTGATCATTAAACTTGAGATCAAAATACAGAAAAAAATAAGATTCATTAACTTGTGGACAAATAATTTTCAATGGTAAAAAAGATTTAAAAAACTCTCCCTAATGGCCTAGGTCAGGGGTAGGAAACCTTGGCTCTTTTATGACTTGTGGACTTCAACTCCCAGAATTCCTGAGCCAGCTTGGCTGCCTCAGGAATTCTGGGAGTTGAAGTCCACAAGTCATAAAAGAGCCAAGGTTACCTACCCCTGGCCTAGGTTGTGACCTAAGGCTAGAAACAATTCAGGAGTATTAGTTCATAGGACACGTGCCTCACAAACTTTAAGCTCCAGGGGGAAAATGGCCAGCCATGCTGAGTGGATAACGTGAATCATCTTTCAGGGGGTTTTTTTTGGGGGGGGGGGTTTAGAAAAACTACTGGATCACAATTCATATAGTGTTAAGACTTGCATTATTTTTGTTTCCCACTCTTTATTTCCAAAGCTAGCAAAACATGGATTTATTCAGATTATACTGTAGTCAAAAAAAAAGTTTCCAAGGTAGCTTACTCTTCTTATTATCTGTTCACAGTTGGCCTTTATTCACATCAGTGAATAGGATGTCATAATGTATCAGTGCAGTATTAAGTACAGATCCAAGCAGTGTGGCCTTTTGCAATTAATAGAAGGAAATACACCAATATTCTAAGTGCCATCTAAGATTTTTTGATATGGCACCCAGTGTGCTAATAACCCCTGAGACATCATGGTCAGCTTATGCCAGAATCTTTCAATTTTCATTTCGATTTTCAGATCTTGATACTTTGTGATCTTCTCCAATTCTTTATCTTCTATTCTACTATCCCAATATTGCCACATCAATTATTCATAATTTCTTATTTTCAACCACAGTTAAATCTGGTGTGTTATGAGCCAAGACTTTATCAGTCTGTATTAGGAAATCTCACAATATTTTAACCTGCTCATTTTTATTACTTTTTGTATTTTATGTTCCCACCAATTTTCATTACTGGTACATGATAATTTTTACAGATGTTCTAGTGAATCATTTTGGTAACTAGATTATGTAATTGTTTATTAGCGGATTGTGTGATCTTTTTGCATGAACTGAATATATGATCTGTTTCTTTTGCTTTTTTGAACAATATGCACTTTGAATGAATCATTTGATGATTTTCAACTGATATTATTTTTCATCCCTTTAAATACATACATACATACATACATACATACATACATACATACATATATATATCAACTCAAAACGGTCAGCATACCTAGACAGTCTTCTATTTTGCCTCATTCAGTGCCACTTTAAGGTTGGGTTTAATTAAAAAAAGTGCAAATACAATCATGATTCAGGACACTAAAAAAAGTTCTGTAATGAAAAAAACTATGAAATACTTACAGACTTAGACTTTGATAAACTTCCCAAGGTTTGTATGGTTTTAGAGATCAGCGTCAAAGTTCTTGAAGTTTGTGGATCCTATACAAAGGAGAAAACCACCATGTTATAATTTGTGTGGGGGAAACCATAAACATTTATTAAAATACATTTTCTTACTCTGTACATAAAGTTTAAGTAAATTTAAGTGGGAAGAAATTTTAAGGACTTTTGCATCTGGCAGGATTCTCCAGCTACTCTGCTTAGTTTATTTTCATTAAAAAAAAAAAGCTGAATGCCTGGAGGAAGATTTGCTCTCTGCAAGATTCTGACGGATTTTCACATTCTTTTGACTCTTATGTCTATTCATTTAAAAAACCCATCCTGATGAAGAAAACATGATCACTAGGCTCTAAGTGATACTTTGTCAAAAAACTGACTAAAGTGTTGGCGTATAATGACGTCTAGGATTTACAAGTAGCTTTCATACAACTGACAATCAAAGGACATGATGATATGAAAGCAAAAAAGCACAGAGCAGGCGGGTTGGGCCTGTTGCGGGTCTCATTTAGCCAAGGAATGGCGGCTGTTGGGAATCAAGAGACGAGCCTTCTCTTCTGCAGTTCCTGCCCTCTTGAACATTCTTTCTTCGGGTATCAAGATTAGCCCAACCCTGTTGCCTTTCACAAGAGTATGACGATTTGGTTGTGTGCCTAGGTCTGGGGTCCCCAATATGACCCCATTTCTTGACTGTATTAATAAACATAGTTGTACCATATATAGTTATTTTGTATTGTTCAAATTGTTTTATTTTATTATGTATGCCACCCAGAGTCACTTGTTGAGATCAGTGGCTATAGAAATAAAAAATAATAAAATAAAATAAAATAATAAAGCAGCATGCAAAACAATGAATACAAATTCAGCTCTACTATTTTATAAAGAAAAGATAGCTCATATCTTACACCATTAAAAAAAAACAAGTTCCTCTAATAGTCTGTCTCATCTACAAATATGAAGGCAATAATTAAGGCAGTGGTTAAGGAAAATTTATTATTTTCCAGATTGACCAATAAAATTTTAATTTTTTGTTAGACAGAAAAAAACCTAAAGAAACAGGACTCTCTTAATGGCTGCCCCAAAATTCCTATTTAGTTTCCTTTGTAAGAGCCAACATTGCAGAATTAAATAAATATATTATTTACAGAACCAGGCTGAAAATAATTTTGTGCTGAAAAGAATTCAGTCTGGAGAAAAATTCAAATTGCCAATTTTGAAGTAGAACTTTTTTTTTTTACTTAGAATATAAAGTAATATGCACATTTACAGAATTCTACAACTTGAATTTATGCTTTCAACATTTTTCTTTTTCAACAGCAATGTGCTGCACATTAATAAGATATATTTGAATTTGGAAGGAATTTTAAAACTAAATTCTTGCATATAAAGAAACAAATAAACAAAAATTATTTCTTCAGGTATGCAGATGAACAAGCTAATTTTCCTCATGAGTCATTTACTTAACTCTTGATTTTTCAACATTTTCGGCACTCACCCTTTTTATTTCTGCTGCTGGAACAGTGCCTGCCCTTACAAGTTGTCAATCTTATGGTAAACATTTCTTTTTCAAATTTTATCACCCTTTAGGAATGCCCATATATGACATTTGGTACAAAGTGTAAACATTTATATTAATCTATTGTGTAAGATATTGTACATATCTAAGTATTGTCCATTTCAGCATTTGAATTGTAAAAAAAGTGATACAAATTATAACTTGTTATTAGCCAGATAAAATCTAAAATCCCAACAATGAAAAAGAGCAGCAGTAAAAAAGACACAGGGCTTCAACCCGGAAGACCTTCTGGGCTCGTCATTGACCTCCAGAAGCTGAAGTACTTACTGGGTGATGTGGTGTAAGATGAAAAAGGTTTGGAGAAAGAATTGCAGGAGCAAAGAATCTCAAAAAAATAAAGCTGCTTACTGCTGTGTACCTCACATCTGGGTCATCTATAATTTTAAAACAGAATACAAATGATCATGTTGTGATTCTACTCTACAAATGATTCAGACCACCCCAAAAAGGAAAGAGTGATAGATGAAAATATCCTATTCAACCCAGCAGAAAATGTTAAGATGAACAATTGCTGGTAAAAAGATGGAGGGCTATCTGCAACTTGCTATTCAAATTCAGGTTTGTCAAAATAAGAGGAAACATCTGTATATAAGAGATGCTTCTGCCCATGAAAACAAGAGTTGAATATGCCAAGAGGAATCTAAAAATAAGCTGAATACAGTGGCAATCGATAATTAAGAATTTTAGGTGGTAAAATAAGAAGGGTGAGGGTCAACAATATGCTTAATGACCAATATTTGAACATCTATTCTGATCACATCTGTGGAAGTAACTGCAATTCATAATTTTCCTCTGCAGCCAAGGATATACAGCTATCATAAGTGAATGCATATTTTAATCTCCAAAATGAAGATATTTAGCAGTCTGGATAAAAATAAGGATAGTAACAAAATACAAAACATAAAGGGAAGAACATAATCTTCCTCCTTCAACAGGAGCTTAAAGACATACGGGATATTTTTCCATTTCAGTGTGATGATGAGATGATTTCTGCATTCCCTTTATAATTTTAAAACAATTATAAAGCAATTATAGATGTATCTACTGACTTCCCACAATCTTTCAGCTGAGATAATCTTTTCTCAGCTACATACAGTTTAGAATTTACAATATTAGTAATATCTTTTATGGCTTTTATATTATCTCAAGATTAGCCATCATCTCTTTCTTAATAGCTATCAAATTGTCCAAGTGGAAGGCAATTGTTGTTAATGTTTATTTATTTGGGTCATTGATTAGCATAAGAATTAAAACTATAAAATTTTATAAGCCTCCCATTTGAAGTGTCATCCTGACAACTAATGATCAAGTCTTCTTCTGTCATCAAAACACCCTGTAATAACATGGTTCAATACTAGCAATTAGTTAAGACCTATCAAGGTCTATCCAACCTCTGGACAAATTTATTCCTCCTTGATTAGTTCCTAGTAAAAATCCTTCCAGGGATATCTTTAATATTATTCACTTACCTTATTTGCTCACTGCCCCCTTTTTACTTTCCTCAGTGCACAGTTATTAGGATGAAAATTAGGAGAAAACCAATAGTCATCTAGCAATAGTGTCATATTTATTAGAAGTTCAATGTGCTTCCTGGATTTCTTTTTCCAGACCTTTTTTCACCTTTTCTCTTTTTCATCATGGAGTCCTGGTGGCCCAGAGTTAGAATACAGTACTGTAGGCTAACTCTGCTCATAATCTGGAGTTTGATCTTGATGGGGCTCAAAGTTGATTCAGCCTTCCATCCTTCCAAGATCAGTAAAATGATGATCCAGATTGTTGGGGGCAATATGCTGACATTGTAAACGGCCCAGAGAGTGCTATAAAGCACTACGGAGTGGTATATAAGTCTAAGTGCTATTGCTATTTCTATTATTATGACTACTAATTTTGAAGCTATATTTTCAATACTGTTTATGTATTTATACTTTTTCTACTGTTAATTGACTTAGGAAAATAAGATTTAAGGGAAAAAACATCTCTTATAGGGATGTGAAAACAGTGAGTGCCTTTTTAAAATTTGATCTTTACCTGATAATCAAGTATAACTACTTTAAATATGTAATAATGCTGAGCTCCTACTGTATGTATATGAATATTAATTTTGACCATGATAGTACTGTTCTGCTAATTAATTTCTGAGCTTTCAAATATAAGATAGACCCATATATTATTAAAGTTTATACAAAATATATTATCTAAATAAGGTTGTATAAACACACTACTGTAGCTTACAAGTAAGATAGAGAAAATACATGTATACACAAATGTATACACATATCAGAAACATGTAGTAAAATGGTTTCACAACTGCAATGGTGATTAATTCTAAGAATGTACAAATAGATAATGTTCCAATTAGGTTAAACAGGAGAGCAAAAAATGTTTTAATTCTAGGTTACCTTGGAAACGTACAGCTGCTGATTCCCTCAATGAAAAAAAGATATCACACATCACTGTAGGACAACTGACCCCAGATTTTGTAATAACTGTGAAAATCCGATCTACGTACTGCCTAAGATTTTCCTAGGATGAAAATGAAGAGCATAAAACATTAATTCCAAAATAATTTCAGACCTTTAAAACATTGAACAAGATACATTTTAATTAATTTTCATATTAATGGAATTTGATTACCATACACAATGCCATTCCATTAATACCATTTTACCTTCTTATACTGGTATTTTTCAAAACACCACTTGTACATATTTTTACTAAAGGCTGAGGAAAATAAATAATAAATTGGTGATAGACTGAGTTTTTTCCAGGTTCAGTATTTAACATCGTCAATTCAGACCGGGAAATATTTTTTTCTGAAAACCTTTGGAGCTATTAAAAGCCAGTGTATGCAAGGGTTTACTTCATTAAAACGACACCTATATAAGTTCTTGGTGGCCACAATTAAAAATTACTTCATAATCCAGAAAAACATTTCTCTCATTCCACGTATCTTAGTAAGTTTCTATTTAGGGTTGTCTATATGAAAGATTAAAAAATTCAAAATGAAACGAAGTATAAGAAAAAAAAAGAGGCTTTAGTTCAGATATTTTAAAACACATTTCAGTGAGAATCCATATACTTTTGACTGAATTTATAATAGATTATAACAGAATTGGAAGAGACCTTCGAGATCTTTTAGTTCAACTCCTGTTCAGGCAGGAGACCCTATATCATTTCAGATAAATGCTTGTCCAATCTCTTCTTAAAAACCTCCAGCATTGGAGCACATACCATTTCTGAAGACAAGCTGTTCCACTGATTAATTGCTGTAACTAACAGGAAATTTCTCCTTATTTCTAGATTGTGGGTCGCATTAGGAAATGAAATTGTGATTTTCATCTGATGATGATGATGTAATAAACTTGTAAATTTAAACAGATATTTGGATTCTGGCCAAATATAGTTCAGTCACAGTGAATTCAAATTTTAAAAGTCTTTTAAAAAAATTATGTTGTTATTTATTAAAGTTGAGCACTGCCTGACTCTCAGTGATTCTAGGCAGTTCACAAAATAAGAATGCAGAAAAATAAGAATAAATAATAGAACAATAAAAACAAAGCAAAAGATGGCAACTATGAGAAACATTCTATATTATTCAGACTGGGCTTCACCATCCTAGCCAAAAGCCTGGGCCAAGAGCCAGGTCTTTAAGGCCCTCTGAAATACCCTTAATTCAAATTACTTTCAAAAATTTATTCACAAATATTTTTAAAACCATATCCCAATTATGATAATAATGGTATTTGCCATGAATTTTTTCTCTCTACTCAACTTATGTTACGGTCCTCTAGTGTTCCTTTATCTAACAAGAAAATTAATCAAATTGTTACTTCTTAATTTTTTATTTTAAAGTACTATAATTATATTCATTCATTCATTCTTTCATTCAATTTATATAGCTGCCCATCTCACACATGTAACTCTAGGAAGCGCACATAATTAAAATAACAAAAGCAATCAAAGCAATTAAAAACGAAACCATTGAAATACATTTAAAAGCGTAAAAAACAAAAACATGAGAGAGTGCATTCTAAACTTCCAAAGAATATCATCATATTTCCATGGACTCCCCAGGCCAATGACAAAACCAGGTTAACAGCCTTTCAGAAGGTCATATAAACTGTTTCTGAAATATTATTTGGCTATGTTATTACTTATTCTGTGTTATACCTTCGTACAATTTTATTTTTAAATCTGATTCTATGCCTTTACAATATACTGGCTTTCTTATTTACAGTACATAAAACAGGAGATCTATTGCAAATCACTACTGAACTAAGACATCAGTAAGTAATTTAATTTAAAAATACTTACAAATGAGAATATTCCCATGTAGAAGTGCTTCAATATAAATAAATTTATATGAAACCCAAAATAGATTATAGTACTGTCTACAATATACACACATATACCCTTACATGTATGGATGAATTTTGCTATTTGGATTTTGTGTGAATATTTTAGGTGCTTACATTCTAGAAGATGAAATAAGGGAAGTCTCTGGTGGGATTCCATGCCAAAAAAAATGGCCTGCCTGGAATCAAAAACTATTTTTCTCCTTTCGTTTTGTATTGAAATCTGGTAATATATGAAACAATCTTTATGAAATATGAAAAACATCTGGAAATTGGGATCAGTATCACTCTGTTGCAGAGAAGAGTGGCAAATTCATATGCTGATTATATTCCTATTGAAAACAATGGTCTATTCCCATCTAGCTTACAACTGGTAACATATTTCAAGAAGTAATCATTTTTATAAGTGAAAAACTGACTTTCTCCCCTACCATCTGAACTACCTACCCTATTATTTTCCAAATTTTCAGCATCTTTCAACTTCACAGGATCAATTTCACAAGGTTTATGGAGCTGGCAGATCTGAGAGAAATAGGAAAGAAAATATATATTTGATATCAGTGTAGTGAATTACTTACCAGTAGGATTTGATACATCTCAATTTTTAGATGGAATTTGTCCTACTGCAGTTGTTTTATAGAAATGAACTATCTGAAAACAATGTTCTTGCTTGGGTTCAATTTCTTATTTCTTTTTATTTTGGCAGTGACACTAATCATTTTTTCCTGGAGTGAGAAGTTTACAAACCCATTGCAAATCTAATTTCCAGTACTGGCTAAAATGTAAATTCTATCCTTAACTATGTTTAGTGACATTGCTAATGTGATGCATATGACGATTAAGGAAAATGAAATAAGGAGACAAATATTTAGGCTATAGAGAAAAGGTTCTCATTTGGAAATAAATGGTCCGCAAAAAGAAATGCAACCATAGTTTTTAAACTGTTTCTCCATTGCTTTGAAATAATATTTAGTTAGTTATTCTATATATTCAAATTTATTAGCCTTTCAATTCCAAATGGACTCCAATGTTATCAATATCCTATCAAAGGAATACTTAAGGGAAAAAAATCTCATTGTTTTGAATAAGACAAAATATGACATGGTGTTGCAAACTTTAATTTTAAAAAATAGCATAGATTATTGGCTAGCCATGACATTATCAACTCAGGAAAATGCTGAATCAACTAAAGGAAATATGTGGTTTGCTTATTTCTGTCATTGGAAAAAAGATAAGACAACTGCAATATGGAGATAACAAGTATTTCCACAAATTTAAGAAAAAAAAACTTTTTTTCTGGATCTAAAAATAGGCAGCTATTCACACCAATTGCTTCTTTTGTATGTAGATTGCATTCTTTTTTAGAAACAAGGGTTTACTTCTGTAACATACTGTTTATATGTTCTTGACTTGGTACATTGTTGATGGTCAAACAACCATAACAAGATATTGCACACTCTGCTAATAAAGGTGAGCTCACCTCATCAATAATAGGCTTCAGTGTGACTTGAAGATAATGCTTCCCTGCTAGTTTCATGGTTTCATCAATGCACTTGGAGGTTAATGAGTTTCCTCTAAAAATGGTGTTTGGATCTCTGAAAGCAAACATTTTTTTAATCATTTAGCCTTCTTATAATAAACTTTTAAGAAAAGAATTGCAGGACTTACAGGTATATAAGGTATATCTAGAGGCCCATTAAAAAGGATTAATCATAATGTAAAGACCAATAATGGTTATCAGCCTCAGACTTCTGAAAGGAAGGAGGCCATCATAGTTTGCTGGGCACTAATTGCTCTTTGGCAGCCAATCAATTGGCATCTCCATAAAAACAAACATTCCAGAGATTTCTGGAACATTCCATTTCTTCTCTATGCCATCCTATCTTCCTGTTCTAATGGACTTGTTTGAACTAGTACCAGACAAAATTGGAGTCAAATCATATCTGGAGCATTACAAAACAACTGAAGCAGACTCACTGGCATGGTCCTAAACAGAAATGGAATAATAGGTTGTGCATATATTTAGCACTGATCTTTTCAACACCCATCAGAGCATTTTGCAGTGCAAAACACCTCTCCTTATAGCCCTCTCTGGCATTAACATCTGCAGGAGAGATCTTCTTGAAATGTTCCCATTGTCACAGGCTTACTATCATATGGGAGAGTTTTCTCCTACAAAGTCTCAAGGTATAGAAGGCACCATGCAATATGTGTGCTCTCCAGACTCTCAGAATATAAAAAATCCATAAAGTAATAGCTCCTTTGCCAGGCTTTTAATAATTTCCTTATTTTGGTATAGGCAGTCCTCAACTTACAAGTATTCATTTAGAAACCATTCAAAATTACAATGGCACTGAAAAATGTGACTTACAATTATACCTCACACTTATGAGGTTGAGTCAGCCTTCTATCCTTTCCTTCCAAGGTTGGTAAAATGAGGACCCAGATTGTTGGGGGCAATATGTTGACTCTGTAAACCGCTTAGAAAGGGGGCTGTAAAGTACTGTGAAGTGGTATATAAGTCTAAGTGCTATTACTATTATGACCGTTGCAGCATTTCCAGTCACATGAGCATAGCATTTACAACAGTTGCTATGTCCTGGAGTCTTGTGATCTCCATTTTCCATCTTCCCAACTGGCTTCCAACAAGCAAGGTCAATGGGGAAAACTGGATTTGCTTAACAGCCACATGATTCATTTAACTGCAGTGATTCACTTAACAACCTTCACAAAAATATCATAAAATTCTGGTCCCAATTCTGGTTGTAGGTCTAGGATTGCCTGCATTCATTAGGTTTTTAATCAGCTGTATCATGTTTTAAAAATTTATTAGCAATTGTAAGTGCTTATTTGAATAGAAAGGCAGAGAAAATTTTAAATGAATTAGTAAATAAACTAGAGCAGCTGTTCTTCTGTTAAGCCTGGTCAGCAAAGCCCAGGATTCCTCTAGAAAAGCAGGCAATTGAACAGGGTAATTATTTTAGTCCAGTAGCTACCTATAAGCTGGTAAGTCTATAATTCATAGCGTTAAGAATGAATCTGTAGTGAAGTAAGTGTAGAAGATAAATGAGTATCCAGGCTTCATATCTGGCTGCAAAACAAAGAAATACTCAGTTCCGCAGCTTGGTACAATCCTCCTCTACCAGATTTGCATTTTCTCCTTAATCCATGGATATTGTATCTGGTATCAGAATTTCTCCTTATAATAAACATGTGAAGCACGTTACAAGGTATTTAATGAAACAGGACATATCCTACTATTCTTCTGTGTGCTTTCTTAGCTACGTTTTAGGAGAAAATAGTTCCCATGGTATCTTTAGGCTACTGGTCTCCTTGTAAAACTATTCTGTTGATTGGTGAAAATAGCATAAGATTTTAGCTTTAGGGCAAAACATTGGCCCTGCTTTTTAAAAAAAAACAACAACCTCATCTTTATACCATTCATCAGACCAAATGTTCACATGATGCAATTCTGTTCCTGTCTTTATTGCCAGACTAACTTAAATCTGTATTAACCACAATCACAACTTTTTGATGCTAAAAATACTTGCTATGGAATCTTATCAAAAGTGAATTTGGAAAATCAAAGGCCCATTTGTCCTTATGCATGACCTTCCAAAAAATCATTATTTGCTACTCAGTACCTCTTTTTACAATAAATGCAGTATTGTACTTACTGGGTTCTTTTTATTTCTGCATTTGCAATTGCACTAATGAAAGGCACAATTTTGCCATAGTGGAGGAAGAGTCGAACCAGAGGTATGGCTGCCTCTTGTTTTTCTCTGCAGACTTCACCCAGTATATGGGCAGTTGATGCTGAAACAGGCTAAACAGAGAAAACCAAAAACTTTTAAATGGAGGCATCCCTGAAAGAATGTTTAAATGAACTCCTGACAAATTCTTAAGAGCAGTGTCCATTTACATAGAAACCTATGACACAATGTATTCTAATTATATGTGTGTATATCTATTATATTTCTTTCATTAAATGTCAGCTTTTAGTTAACCGGAATTACGAAAGAAAACTTGTATTTTGGGCAGTTATCAATTTAAGATATGCTATCTATAACCACATTTTTTCCTCATTTTATCACAGTTTGTATTTGTGAGATGAAGTCTTTGCCTTGGTTGATATGTTGTATTAAGCCATAATGCACAAATTAACATTATGTGTAAACCAAATAACTATTGCTTTTTCAATAAAGTTTGGTAAAAATAAATGTTTAATGGAATAGGTTATCCCAGTTTCTGATATTTTTTATCAAAGTTGCTACAATATGTCAATATGAGGTTTACACTGCATTCTTCTGTGAAGAAAGGAAAATAATATTTCATGAGAGAAAGCTGAGAGTTAGAAGAGATTTGACAAAGGTTTAGAGATCATGGTCACTCAAAATATTACAGGAGAAACCTGGCTCATTAAGAAGAACACAAAGGAAGCATTGACCCTTGACCACCTGAAGAAATGACCAAATCACAAATTCATGAGAAGCTATGCAGTGCATCTTCTCAAAGAATAGCAAGAATGCTAAACAGAATAGAGAAAAGGCTATTTGGTTGTTAGATTTAAAATCTAGTTTCTGATACAGAAATATAACTCTGCCTAGCAGGCCGCATGTAACTTGTATGTTTTGCAGGACTGCACTAAGTTAATTTTTCTCAAACTTTCTGTACTTGTCAACCACTACATTAATGTTCAGAAAAATGTGGAGACTGCCCATTGAAAATACCTTTTCCTAATGCTTTTTCTCCAATTGGAATTATGTTTTTTGACAAATAAGTTAATGACCATAGTTGTGTTTGGATATCCTTTTCTATCCTTTTAATTTTTCTAAAAGATTTTCAGCTAACTATCAATTTTTTTTTTACTGCAATGAAATTCTCCATGCAGGATATCAGCAGCCTATTGATGAGCTAATGGATCAACTATTGGAGAAAGTTGAGGAGGTGATTGTTTTCCCACAGTTTACAGTGGGAATACAGAAGCAGATAGAATACACAAAGTGAAATACTATCAGGAAACAGGAAATAGGAAGTGATCAGATGTTCCCCTTCTAGGCCCTACTCAAGGAATAACTGCAGTGCAGAGATAAAATCACTAGTTTCTCATTGCTTGTCCGTAGAGGAATCCAGAGATTAAAGTGGAACCACTGAAGTCTTTTTCTCTTATTCCAATGATCCTGGTCAAGACTGTTGCTTCCCACAGTCAAATTATATTGGGGACACAATCATCATAAATAAGATTATTCCCTGGACATTTGCTCTGGAGGAGGCAGAAAATGTATATTTCAGCATCTGGCTTCTAATTTGTTAATTAGTAAGGGGCCCAAGTTTGCAGAAAGCTTGAGGACATCAGATGGTTTATTGTAAAATGATAAATATTTATGAGAAGTTAAGAATGGAAAAATTACCTCAACATCTGCAGATTTTAATAAGAGGTCTCTAAGGGGGTTGTAATGCTCTGGAAGAAAGACATGGTCTTCTGTGTAAACCACATTTAACCGCAAAGAACCTAGGTCATCAGGTTTCAATGTTTTGTTGCCATTAACTCTGGGCTGCAGGAAATACCTAACAAAGGAGAGAAACATAAAACAGCTTCTAAAACTATATATAGATTGTATTGCATAGGCCTTTCTTCCCAGTATTATGAAAGAGTCTATAAATCTTTCTTCATGTCTTTTCGTTTTTAGGTGGCTAAACACATTGTGGTTGTGATGACATGTATTTCTACATAAAACTGGATTGGGTAGGTAGGAGAAGGATTTTTTTTTTTAAAAAAAAACCAGATAAGAAATCAATTATGACAAGGAACAAAATTGTTCTGAAACAACTTATAAAGAAATACAAATAAAGAGTAAAATGGTTTAATAAAATAGAGTACCATGCTTCATAACAGCTGGACTGTCGAAGAAATTTGAGTGGCAACCTCAACTCTCCCAGAAATTCATCTCCAAACTTCAAGTTGCTTGCATTCCAAAGATCAACTCTGTAACAGAGTAAAAGACAGAATGAGGGACAGAAGAACAAACTCTTTTTCTTCCTCTTTAATACTTTCATTTCCATCCCTCCCCAAAAAAATACAAACCAAAAATCAACTAATTAACCAACTAACCAACTCCAAGTCAAAAGAGGATGTTTTTTAAAGCACAAGCTGAAGCAAACAAAAGAGTACTGCTATGTTAACTGATAACTCATTTTAAGCTGACACAGTAAAAAGACTTGAAGCTGTTTTTCTATCAACCGAGAAGATCGTTAAAGAAATAATAATCTGATTTCAGCATGTGATAAACATATAGAAATGGATTCATGTAATCCTTGTTCACAACACAATGTTTTGGCTATGTATTTGTTTCCATTTCCTCCTGCTGTTTAAATCTACATGTTTAGGTTGTAGGATCATATTTTTTGTAGCAATGAGTTCATATTAAATTGATGCGACACACTAGTGAGCTTTGAAAGGAGGGCCAATCTGTTTTCAAAGTATCCAAATTTAGCATTGCTCAACTGATAATCTTGAAGCTGGCCTAGTATTACTTGCAGCAAGCCTATAGCAAGGTTAGGTTTAGAGTTAGACAAACCTTTTGAGCTACCACCATCTTTGCTGTAACATAAAACTCACCAGTCCTATTCTATGCAAAAAAGAAAATAAAGCACCAGTGCCCTCTCTCCATATTTTTCTGTACATGGTGTTTGCTCGAATTTGATTGCTTGAAAAAAAAAATTTAAGAGCTTCTTTCTTTCAAACCCAGATATTTTTCTTGATAGATAAAAAATAAGGGGGAGTGGAGAAAGAGATCAGCTTTCAGTGTCAAAAGAATGTTTATGGTTGGTTCAAGAGCACTCAGATTTTAAAAAAGATGTATAAAATTTTTTACCTGATTTCCATCTTGTCAACTTCATCAGCATCTTCAATTTCAAAGTGAGATTTCTTGCTATAGCTGCTTGGCCTAGTAATCTAGTGCAAATAAGATTTTTTTTTTAAAAAAAGATCTTATGAAAAACCTATTAAACACTTTATATAAGGAACTTCAGTGCAATTGCACATTATATTTGATTTAGTTTCATAAATATAATTGTATTAAACTCCAACTTCTTTAGATAATGCTTTTATAAGCATACATATTAAGCTGCATCACATTTTGTAGTGCAAATTACCTATAACTGTTTTAATAAAGATATATGCAAACCATTGAAATAGTCTGTATTTGTATACCACTGACTCATTTAAAATACTAAAAGGATCATTCCTATACTTGGCAAATGAGATTATTAGACTTATATTTGATATTATTCACTTGCAAAATACTGCAGTATTTTTCAGAGTTTTAAAATATTACAGAAAAAAATCAATTTCACTTAACAAAGAAAAATAAAGAGCTAATTTTATTTAGAAATGAAACAAAAACAAATAAAATGTTATTGCAGAGTATTATGCAACATCAGCAAATTAATTACAACTTTATTAGCTTATATATAGCCATAATTCAAATGTGTTATTCTATTATACTCCGTTTTTGTGCCAAATATATTGGTCATTCACGCCATTATTCTGAGACAACTTTTAATGATGAAGTAAAACAGAATATGACAATGTAAAATTTATGGTTCATGCCTGGTCGATCCATTCCATTTCTCTCTTGTTTTTAATAGGTACCATTGCAGGCAGGTCTCAGCAGGGTGATTTACAGAGGAGATCTTAATTGGAATATTCTTTCCCCTCTAACTTATCTGTGCTCATTGGTGTTTTCTTAAGTCCAATGTGTGTGATATACCTTTCTGTCTGTCTTAGGAATAGTATTTGAAGACAGCAATGGGTATGACAGAGTATGGATGCCACCCCTCCACATATTTATCAATTTTGCAGAATTCTTTCATTCACCTTAACAATCACGGAGGTAGGACTGATGTAGCTCCATGAACATCTACTTGTATTACAAATCCTGCTCTTGTATGTTAAATCCTATACTCCAAATCCTTTTTTATGTTAAATCAAAAATGACATATTTTCAAGTGGCCTGAGGTCAAAATTCTGAAGAACAATGGCAAGAGATATGAGCAGGAATCAAGGAAGCATGCAAGCAAAGCACCTAACTTATTTGAAGGTAAAACAAATATTTCTCTTACACACTGGATAACATAATGACTGAGAATTCATTACAAGCAATTCCCGCTGCCTTTTCCCCCAAAGATTTATGATTCATGGCTACACGAAATCTGGACCTATGGGAGTATGATTAAGATATCCTAGGGAATATACATCAAATCAACTGATACTGTTTGTTAAAACAATAAGGTCTCTCTCATGAACTCGATCAATTACAAATACTTGAAGTTAAATCTTAACTTGCAAATACTTTAGTAAAATTACAAATACTTAAGTTAAAAAACAAGTAATTAATATCCAAATGAGAACAGGAGGAAATAAAGGAGCAAATCAACCAAAATTAGCAATTAGAAACAAAATCAAAAACAAAGTCTTCTAGTGAAGTCATTCCTCCAAATTTTAGTTTCATTTTTAAGAATAAAGCAAGCTTTCTTGATTTTTCCCACTTCCTCTTATCTATTTCCCTAGAATTTTATAAGTTACAAGGGAAAGAAGGAAAACAGTGTTGGTAAATATATAACATTGTTTTCCACAATTAAGACTACATTTTATTTCCCTTACCTAGTGGCTAGCTTTATAACAAATAAATACACCAAGCATTCATATTGGCAATGCCAACTTCAAGTACATGTGGACACTTTTGTGCAGAAAGCAAAAGACCTGTCTATAAACAGATACTGTGGAAGAGTGCTGCTTCACCTGCCAATGTCCTCTATATTCTAGCATAATATAGGAAAGTGGAACTTGCAAGAAAAGTGTTTGCCAATAGTAGAGGAATGCCCTGGGACTGGATATTTCTCAATTTCCCAGAGCTCCCAGTAAAAACTTCTTTTTTTATTTTCTAGAAAGGCTTGAAAAGACACAGACCCTTTGGAATCAAAATAACTTAGCTTCATCTACTACTAATTTATTATTATCCTTGCTATTCAGATAATAGGGCAATATGTTATATTTCTATGTCCAAGGGAAAACCGCTATCGGTCTGACAATACTCCAGACAAATTGTAGAATTGAAGGCAGGAAAACCAACTGCCCTAAGCAACAACTGAAAGGCTTAGATACAAGATGAAGTGAAGGGAGGAAATAAAGAAAGGGAAAAATTTAGTCTGGCATCCTTCACAGTAAAATACCCTGAAGGCTCAGTTTTACAGGCTGTCTTTAAAAGGCTTGGCTTTATTGTTTTGGAGAAATGATGACAGAACTGAAGTCAGATGATGGGGCTTATGCTGATGCTTAATTAGCCCCCTGGGAAATCTGGCTCAGTCCTGCAGGAAGTAAAAGGCCAAAGGAGTTCCAGTTTGAGACTCATCCCTCCTTCTGCAATTCTTCTCCTATATGGCAGATGGCAGTTTAAGAAAAATAAATAAATAAGAACTCACATTATAATGACCACAGCTTAGGTTAATCTGTGATTATGAGTCACTTTGAACTCATCGTTTTGTGGGCATATCTAAAATGTAATAACCTTTAGAAGTGATTGCAGGAAGGCTAGAAATATTTATTCAATACAGTTACAGACTGGCTAGTATAATATATGTATATAATATTAATACCACTTTACAATGCCTTGGTAAGGCCACACTTGGAATACTGCATCCAGTTTTGGTCACCTCGATGTAAAAAAGATGTTGAGACTTTAGAAAGTGTACAGAGAAGAGCAACAAAGATGATTAGGGGACTGGAGGCTAAAGCATATAAGGAACGGCTGCTGGAATTGGGTATGTCTAGTTTAATGAAGAGAAGGATGAGGGGGGACATGATAGCAGTGTTCCAATATCTCAGGGGCTGCCATAAAGAAGAGGGAGTCAAGCTATTCTCCAAGGCGCCTGAAGGCAGACAAGAAGCAACGGGTGGAAACTGACCAAAGAGAGAAGCAGCCTAGAACTAAAGAGAAACTTTCTGACAGTGAGAACAATTAACCAGTGGAACAATCTGCCTCCAGAAGCGGTGAATGCTCCAACACTGGAAGTTTTTAAGAAGAGACTGGACAGCCATTTGTACGAAATGGTATAGGGTTTCCTGCCTGAGCAGGGGGTTGGACTAGATGACCTTCAAGGTCCCTTCCAACTTTACTATTATTATTATTATTATTATCATTCTACAACGGAACATACATATGTAGTCTGTGAAACAAAATGGGGTGAACATGTCCCCAAGACACCTTGTCTCACAGCCTTAAAATTTGAGGAAGGAGAAGCAAGTCCACCTCAGCATAATTTATATAAATACCATTTCCCCCTGAAAACTGGTGTTGGATAAATTTTGCCAGACATATCTGACCTTTCCCATCTGAGTCCAGATATTATTTTTTAAAATTTATCCTTGCTATAATATTTCAGTGCAGATAGTCCTTGACTTAAGGACATTCTTTCAGTGACATGACAGTGATAAATGGTCTTACCACGCATGCCTAAAGTTACAGCTGTTGCAACGCCCGCATGGTCATGTGATCAAAATTTGGAAGCTTGGCAGCCCACCCATACTTACAACTGCTGCAACCACCACCACCCACCTATTTTCCCCCATCTATGTAATTTTGACCCCTGCCATCCTGCGGTCCATGCCCCAGTTCACCTTCATCGGCTTCTTGCTCCATTTGCTGATGAGGTATGCTGTCCTGGCTGCTATCTAGGGCTGGCTTTGTGCTGTGAAAAATGGGAAAAGACTGCTTTCAGCCTGTTTCCCCCCTTTTTTTGCAGCACAAAGCCAGCCCAATAAGGTCCAGGAGTGTGGGGGAAAAGGGTGTTTTGGCCCATTCTGGCCTCTTTAAGTTAATAAAGCTGGGGCTTGGCAAGCAGCCCCAGGGTCATGTACTGTTTGCCATCCTGCAAGGCAAGGTACAGAGTGGTCAGAAGGGCAAAGCTGGGGGTGAGGTAGTGGGTGGGGGTAACTGGAGGCAGCCCCTTATCTTGCGGAGGCTCAGGGCCAGGGGGGATCAAGGTTAGAATGGATTTGGATTTGGATACGTCCTTGGTTAATGACTGTTAAAATTCATTTAATGATAACATGGGGATTGCCAGAATTGCAGTCACTAAGCAATGCAGTCATGTGATGTCTCGCTTTATGATCACATTCTAGTCCTAAATTGAGAATTACCTGTACTTCAAGGATAGAAAAGCAAAAGGATAATGGAAAATAGTATTCAGACTGATTAAAAAGCAATCAAATATAACAGGTGTATGTGTACATATGAATATATACACACAGATTTTAATGCTTTTGAATACTTGAAACATTTATATGTTCCTAAGAATTCGTAACAATACCCTGCCTGCTAAATCAATCATACCATTCAGCTAAAGTCATGACAATTAATCTCTATGAGGAAATAAAGAACTGTAGATTGTATTTTGCCTAAATGTGTTTTTCACATTTATTTTGGAGATAAATTGAAAAGAAATATTGATTTTCTGAAAGTCTCCACTTTTGACTATATTCAGTATATGAAAGTTGGTTTTGATATCCAGAAATGTCACCTTCTTTCCTTTAACCTCGAATATGCTTTAAGATGTTTTTCAAACACTTCAGAAGCAGCTGCATATGTAAAACATGGGAGGGGATCAATTTACCTTTACTGAAATTATCTATAAATCTTTCACCTAACTAACCCAACAAAGACAACAAAAGCTTTGAGGTTTTTTTTTATTTTTAACGAGGTCTTGACACGGAATGAGAGTACTCCACCCAGCAATAACCACAATATAACTCCTCCCATTAAAAATTCAGAAACTTCTTCCCTAATCAGGTAGCGTTATTACTATACATTTTAAAAATGTATTAGCAAACTGATTTAACTACATTTTAAAACTGAGTCAGCCAAAGAAAATTCAGTTCTGAATACAAAGCCAAAT